AATATATTTCCAATGGAGACCGCCTATTTCTCATGGGCTGCAATATATGGCAGCGCTTTTTGCTTGTCATATATTGCAGGCAATTTGATAGTTTGACAGCCATATTTTCATTTGAAAATCGTATTGGTCGTCAAAATGACAGTTGGTAGGCCANCGTCAAAATGACAGTTGGTAGGCCATCATGATGCAGTAATACAAGGTGGTATCAGTTGTGACAGCTCGATTTGACACTGCCTTTGCTCAGTAGAATAGAAGAAAAACGGGAAGAAATTAATCCCCATTTGGGGGAAAAATATAAAATTTCATATTTTCTTCTAAACAAAATTTGCTTTTTTATAGTATATTCGTAATGAAATGAAACAATGAGAAAAAATAAAAAAAATTCAACTATATTGTTAGGCAAAGAATTGTTATAGGGAATTTACGTGATTCAACTCTCACAGGCGATTAGTTGAACCAAAAGTTTAACGAAAGTAGGCAGCAGACCAACTTCATTGAAAGCGATTAGTTGAAAGGCCTTTTACACCAGGCGATTGTTGCTTGCAACTCAAAATCGCCTGAAAAATCGCCCCATGTAAATTCACTATTAAAGAAGTAACACTGTTTCACCTAAGGCAGTCAATATGGCGGCATTAGAGCGAGAAGTTGCCAACCGATAACACCTTGTATTACTGCATCATGGTAGGCCATCGGTGTTTGCCTGTAGAGTTCTGCGGTAAGGTTTATTAATGGAGAAAACAGCTGTTCCTGCAAATCGTGACACATTTGGAACGCAACTAATGACAACGAAAACAAATGAAAATGAAAAAAAAATAGACGTCATTCGTAGCATTTGTTTACTTTTTATTTAGTGCATCTGTCTATTTGCCTAAAATTAACTGTGGAGCCGGCGAAGCAACATTCTGGTTTAATATAAAGGAGTAATTTATAAATCAATTATATAAACTTTACTACATTTACATATATCCATATGCATATGTGGGTATAATTGCAAGCGTTTTGAAATTCATTTATTGGTTTGACAACAAACTAGTAAATTTGTACAATACATGCATGCGTACATGCATAGCTGGCTGAACTCATTCTAGGTAAAGGAAAACCGCATTTCCATAAAACAAATTCTTTAACTATAAACATATTTCTTACAGAAAGCCTTTATTTGCCTCCTTGGGATTCTACAATGGATGAAACCGAGGTAGTGATAGAAATTGAAAACTGTGATTCCGATGATGCGATGCAATGCTTGCGCAGATAAAGAAAGAACTGGCCGACGACAGTGCTCCTTAACACCCGAAAAAGAAAATATAGAACTATCAGTCTGCACTAAATCTGAAAAAGATGAACCTGATTCTACATACAATATTATAGAAAGCATTGACATAGATGATGCTTCCCCATTAGTTGCTTCACAAACCGTTGATAAATTTATTATATACGAACTAGATCAGGATAACTTTAAAAATGATGTACCAGCAATGCTTGGGAAGCCACAAAGCGCAGAGATTGAAGCATACCAAAAACCAGCAAAAGAAATTAATGAATTCAATGCTGCCAAACGTCATTTTCCAAATTTAAACGATATATCGAAAACAACGACCCAATGGACAACCCTCTATTGGAAATAAATGATATTGCACTAAACGATGCCCAAGACATCATTTCGCTGGTATCATCTGATGAAGACGAGGTGAACGTTACAAATGGCTATCCGATTCGGAAGTCTAATACTGATACAACAACACTATCTAACTCGAAAAATGCTAAATCGAAAAAAAGAAAACATGCCGATGTAGAAGCAGACGAGAAAAATGATACTTTAAAAAATTACCACCATCATATCTCTAATGACGTTTTCACTCAACTCGAGTTAAAAGACTTCTTTGAGCGTGCGTTCGAAGAAACACGAAAATTAAGCATCAGAAGGCGCCAGATAATTAAAATGTGGCTGTTTAAGGCCGTTTGTAAAGCGCAAGAAGATGTAGAGGCTAAAAAATTTTGTGAACAATGTTACAAAGCAAAGAGGAAAGCAGTCAAATGGAAACGCTAATTATATAAGAAAAATTAAACATCTTTTTTATATTCACGGAGATGTTGTGCGTGTGGCAGTACCTCTTTTCTTAAAAGTAAGTGGACTTAACTACCCTGGGATCGGACAAAGGTCATTTTGTACTAAAAGCATTTTTGCGTATTTGATTCTGAACTGCTAATAATTAGCGATGTGAGTATTATTATTTATGTTTAATGTCTGCTTTTATTTGCACTCTGTGTTTTATTTTACATAAATGTATGAAATTCGTTTTATACTTTTAGTAGCTTAATGGCATTATTTTAGAATAAATTAAAACCACATATTTTTAAGTTGGTTTAAAAGGACAGCTGTACCTATCCTTTTATTTATTTTTACAGTCAAAATTATACCATATAATAAATAATATATTAACAATGTCTTTGTCACCGTTTTTTTATTTTAATTTTCTCATTGACTGACTTCTAAGTACTATATAGTAGTTTTTTATTGCTAAATAGAGTAATTAAAGAAAAAGATAAGGGTGCATCAATAACGGTTATGTTAGCATATAGAGTCTAATAATACTAGAACTTTCTAAAAATTATTTACACAAGTAGGTAAATCACATCAGCCTGAAGGAATAAGACATAAAGTCCTGTTATTATCTCGTCGTAGAAATGTTACTGGGTTGCAGCTAACCGCCTATTTTCACCCTTTCTTAATATGGTCTCCAATTGTGAGATTAATCCTATGGCGCGGAAGTTTTCCATTGAAAGTGCAAAGTCTTCCAAAGGTTTAAGATATTCGAGAGCTTGTGTATAAGATGTAAGGTCCGTTTCCGCACCTTTATTAACACCATTCGTGCTGCCATTGCCGTTTGTGACAGGTTTCGGTGAAGGCGCTGGTGTATGCCCACTACTGCCGTTAGGTGTGTTCTTACCATTAACCAGTTTTATGGGTTTTATATCGCACTCGTTTGTTTCGCAATCACTCGTCAAATCAGTCACATTGTTACCATTCGGTATTTCCGTGACTTCGTCATCCTCTGAACGTGCTCGTTTTGTTGGTGGCTGTTGTATTGGGCTGGCACGATGCGCTGGAGAGGCTAATTTTTGCAGCTGTTGCTGTGGAGGTGAGTGTGAGGCTGGTCGTGAGGGTTGTGGCGAGTTATAGCTGTTATGTTGATTCTGTCGATCGTAATAGCCTTCATACCCATCATAACTGCCATTATAATTCGGCAGCGGTTGACCGTAAGCGTCATAACCGGCGTGACTTTGTTGTTGCTCCTTCAAGGACTGACCCTGCGAATCTTGATCATCATCCTCTTCATATTCACCATACTGTTGCATGTAGTTCATATAATGTTCCGGTAAACTTTCTAATTTGGCAACACGCTCAGCGCTCGTAGGTGGAAATAGATGTTGGAGGTCTTGTACAATATCTGGAATCCAGAGAGATACTCCTAGCGGTTTTAACTGATTATTGGCCAATTTTTGTGCAAAACCAGTTAAGTGTGTTTCACGGAAGCGATTGAGCCAACGATTGTCAGCCACGAACGAAGTCGAGCCAATAAGCTGTCCCGCTGAAGCAGCCTTTTCCTTGATCATACCATGCGTTATGGAACCACGTAGCTGAGGATTTAGATTGGCACGTACTAACCACTCATAGACGACGGCATTTATATATGCGCACTTGCGGCTGCGTTCAATTTCCTCTACCATAGCTTGCTGTTCAACGGCTTTCAAATCATTGGGAACGTCTAGACGCAGAGATGGTACTGCCGAAGATGTTAGTCTACGTCCGCCTATAAGGTTAGGATGGAAGTGAAGTGCACAAACAACGGGCTTCTTGAAAGGTAGAATGCGGCTCAGGGAAGCATGGCAAGCTTGCTTCCATAGATTAAAAAACGGATTTTCCGGGCGCGGGAATTGGAAGAACTGTAGTTG